TCTGCCTTTTATTTCCGTGAAAAACACCTCGAGCTCGGGTTTGTTCGAGCCCATTGGGCCGAGAGCTTCAGTCGTAACAAGATAGCGTCTCGTTCTTCTGTCTGCTCTATAGCCATTCATCCTCCGGCTTCTCGCTTGCACTGTCCAGAACTTCGAGTTTAGCCGCTCAACCTATCTACGTAAGTACTGCTATCCCGGCATGTGACTTCAAGTTTCATTGCGAGCGCATAGCCCAAAGTCGAATCCCGCACAGTTTCACCACATGTCTGAAAAGCTCACCTTCTCAATTCGATTGATCAGAACGTCAACTGCGGTTGAATTAGGGTTAAGCTGTTTCATGTTTCTCAAATGCATAAGCTCCACGTCTCTCGACGGCCATAAAACTGTCTGGTGTTTAAGCTAAAATTCTGCTATTTAATCAGCTGAAACATCACAAAAAGTGAACCTTCGAGAGCTGTTTTCATTTCAATGGCTTTCTAACGCAGTCGAATTGTCGAGTAGCTCCAACTCGTAACCAGTGAACAATAATGAAAAGAGTGTCTGTCCTCACATTCTTCCTTGTTCCTTTCGCTGGCCCTCAGCATGGCATTCGCAGTACCTTGGAACAATCCCACCGGTTCCCTGGATATGCTCAGATTACCAAAGCGCATCACATCGGATTTCACCGTTAGTTCTCTCGCTATCTGGAACTGCTCGTCCAGTGTCTCAGCATTGATGTTTGTCTGAAATTGCAGGTTTAAATTCGATCGGTGAACGGCTGCGCAGGGAAGGTAGCCTGGTTAAGAGGAATACCTAGCCAATACTCGTTCGAATCCTTTCCAGAGAGGGTAACAGCAGGGAAGAAACCCTAAGAAACGGGAACGTAGCCATACTAGAAGGGCCTCGGTGGCCGATTTGGCTAGTGTTTCGAGTTGGAGATGACAGGAGGCTAGGCGTTGCCTGGGAAACGGGCAAGAGAATCGTAAATTGCCGCTTCGTCGCGCGCGGCAATAGGCGCGACGTTTCCTTGGTTTGCACTACCCTTTCGATTGGAGCAGCGGATTTCATGCAAAGTCTGCATCCTACTCTACATTGTGGACAAGGACTGGTAGCAATTATTCTATTCTTCTGGTCATACGGTTCGCTACGACCGATACCACCTAAAATCTTTGTTCATTAGCCAGGCGTGGCGCGTCGTCGCAGGTCGCCCACTGCGAGCGGCCGACAATTACGATTCTGTTGTCGCGTGGCCTAATCACAGTCAAGTATCAAGTGGCGCCGGAGAGTATAGGAGAAAAGGGAGGCCAAAGTGCGTAGTTAGGCCTACGCCTAGCTCTCCTGTGTCCCATATGAAATCTCACACAGCGTGCCCACTGGAACCGTTACCGTCGATGGCTGCGCTTCCCGTCAACACGCGGCAGCGCCATTTGCTGCTGGTAGATAGAGCGTCCACACAACTGCCAGCGCAATAGTACTGAACGCTGCCGCTTACTATTGCATGCGTTCTTGATAAAAAAGCAGCGAAGAAAAATGAAAAGAAAAACATCCCCATGTTCATATTTGGCTTAAGATTTCCATTTTCGAGCTCCATGATATCTTTCACAGATATCTAGATAAATTATTGAGTAAGGAAAAAATGAATATGAAAGCGCGACTACCTCATCGGAGTCCTCCATCCAATTAACAGAGAATTCAGCTCCGAGACACGGTAAATCAAGGGATATTCACAAGTAAGGTGGCGTAGATTCTTGCTCTGAGTGGCAGTGATGGCGTATACTAAAGAAGGCACTTTAGCATCAATTAGAACTGCATGAATTTAACTTTATGATCAAAAAAGAGACGGACTTCTATTTGAACTTACCATTAATATTGCTTCTCAGGATATTCTTGAACATCGACCCACTTCTACATGACTCCAAATAAAATACCAGCTGACTGAACCGATGTTGTCTGTGCATGGTCAGTAAAGCTTCATTGAGACGTTTCGCCGTCAACTGAAATTCAGAGTTTAATGGAAGTGCAAAAAAAGAAGAGGCATTATTGTCCATAATATTCAGACCTCTGCCCATGGCATACACGATACACGCCTTTCTGTATGAGAACTGTTTTTTACGCTTTGATTATGCACTGAAACGTTCCGCCTCTTCGTTTAAGGGGGTTGTGCACGGGCACGCCATCTGCGTCATAGTGATTCAGTTCCTGAAAAAATACGACCGCCCCCCATTATTATCCATCTTCAACGTACGACCCCCTCCCGGGGGGAGGGAGGGTTCGCAGTACCACGCCACGTCCCACGTCCAGCACTCTGGCGCTGGTGTAGCATACTGACAATACGTACGAGGAAGGGACGATGATAGGAGCTACAATCACCGCCCACAAGGGCACCATGAATTTATAATTAAGCAAAAGGACTCACGACGTGACGATTAATAAACCGATGAAAGTACATTCCCGGACTTTTCTGATCGTAGGAGCACATTTGCTTGCAATTGGGAAGCCCTATCTAGAAGTTACACCTTCCAAACACCTGCGAAAGCCCCATGCATGGCGCATTGCAGAGGTGATGCCAGCTGGCGCCCAATGGCCTATTTCCTGATACCCTTTGCGAAAACATGTCTCTTAGAAGCATACCAAAGTCATCAAGCCAACCGGAGGTTTCATGGCCTCGGAGGGGTTGATTTTTCGGTGTCGTGGACGTCCAAAGCGTAGCGACTCGCGGTTCGCAAAAATGATCACAGATGGATCACAACGATGATCACAACGGGGAAAATCTCTGGAATCGGAACGTTTTTGAAATCGCTCAATTCAGGTGACAAGAGCCAACCTAGCTCTACTCATTCCCACTTACCCCTCTCCGATAGCTTCACTTTCAACGAAGTTATGGGCGTTCAAATGAGGGGTACTTTTCACGTGTTTGGCTTGAAATTGGCTCCAGGCCGTAAAATAGCGCGCACCAATGAGCTTGTATGAGCGCGCTGACCGCGAACAGCCAAAAGTAATCCATAGTTCCGCTCCCCAGCTGGCCTGGTGAGTATTTGGTGTGCGTGGTTTATCTTTATTCTTTTTCTTATCCTTTTTCTTATTTGATTGTGAGTTATTTTGATTGTTGGTTTTGTTGAGTTTGGTTTGTTTTGTTGCGTTTGATTTTGTTGTGAGGAAATTGCTCAGGATTCAATTTCTACGGTTTCATAGGTAGCTTTTGCAATGGATTCTTTTCTAGATTTTGCGAATTAGTGGATTGGGATTTATCTAGACCAGATGAGGAGGGTTGGTGGGCGAAGTGCCTTGAGGTTTTTTTTGTGAGGAAGGTGGAAAAAGTTTCAGCAATATTTTTTTTAATTCTTGACTTAGGAATAGTTCGATAGTGCCTAGTTCTATTTATTGTCATCTACATCGTCCCTTTTGAGCTTCTTTTCACTTGTACCGTGTATCACCGCTCTCTCCACTTCAACATGGGCCATGCGTTTACGACCCCCCCCCTCGATCGCGGGCAAATACGACCCCCCTGTTGTGATGATCACAAAGATGGCGTGCCCTGGTTGTGGAATAGTACCCGTTTGCTGCAAAGCAAACTATTCGTCTCGGGAATCGCGATTCATGTTGCTTTATGCCGTACGTCTAGGCTCTATCAAAGCCGTGTTGCGAGCGAAGGACAGCCGCGTCAGGGACATACTTCAACTCGGCGCGCTGTTCTACGAACAACTCAAACTCACTCTCCCTGATGCCGACGAATTTCTCCTTTTCTCAGCGCTCTCACCTCTGCATGGCAGTTTGTGACAACACTGGCCTTTCACATCCCAATTTCCAGGCACAACAAGTGGATCATCCCACCCCGGTGTCCTCTCTCTTGGGAAGAACTCATCTCCTGTCTGCGATATGTTTGGCACCTCTCAAAACCCTTTGATTCTCTGCCCTCTAGCCTTTCACAGCATGACCCTCACCGAAATTTCAGTTGTCACGTCCGTCGGCGCGTATACACTTAAGGTGGCCTGACCAGCAGCCAGCGCGGTTTTCTCTCTGGCTGCCGAGAATGGGCAGCGACGCAGCACGCCAGTGAGGGCGATGAGCCCAGACCAGGGTCTTGCTCGGACGTGCTGTCTCCTGGTGGGAGGGCCGGTTGTGGTTCGCACTTAAGACACCCAAGGCCGGCTGTGGGCTGCGGAGGCAGTATACTGCAGATCCACTGGAGGACAGCCAGTGGATCTGCAGTACAGTATACTTTTCTGTCTGTAGAGGCAATCACGACGTGTATTGTTATATGTTAAATTCTTCAGTCTGTTATACGGGGAAAAAACTAAAGCACTCACTCGTCCGCCTGGGAAAGCGATTAGACCCGTGCTTCCATGACCGGAAAAGTAGACAAAGATTCGATCATGTGTTGTGCTACAATCTAATAACTATAAAGTTTCTAGGAGGCTTACAAAATAAACAATGCTTGCCTGCTGATAACACGACCACTTCCTCCATGCACGGCCCCTGCGTCCCCTTTGAGAACGGCTAGGAAATTCTCCGGTGTGACTGAATCGCCCTGCGGAGAATATTTTTATCGCTTTCACGAAACTCTGCAAGGAACAACTGCCACCTGTTCACCTTTGTAGTCAATCTCCAAGCCTTCATAGACGTGGGTAAACCGTTGGCGGCGTTGTAGATTTTCCCTCGTGCGCGGGTTGCTGTTAAAGAAATAACCATGATCTGCCTTTGAAGTCCAAATGACTTTCCAACCCACATTCTTCTAGTATGGGGTGAAATGGCTGCCTTTTCGCAACACCGTGTAATTCTCTGCTTTCTAAAAAGGCAACTGCCCTCGTGGATGACTAGAGTTCCGGCTAAGTTGTCGCTTTGAACATGTTTGGAATCAAATGGCTAATCATGCAAACTACGGGTGGCACTGACCTCGCGTTATGGACGATTAAATGCACAAGCTTACAAAACATATTTCCATAAAGGCGCCCATCAGATGGGTAAGGACTCGATTCTGGAGGGAGAGGACATGCATGTTCACTAAGCGCGAACCCTTCCTACAAACGACTACAGACCTTCCTTGTTGATAAGATCTGAAATCATTGCAGACGTACCTGTGGTGCTTATGTCCGCTATGTCGTCATACATCATAACGATAATGTTCTTCTTTTTGATCCCGTGGTTCAGCAATGTGTGGTAGGCGTGGGCAACATCAGCCTGAATGTGCATGTCAATTGAGAAGTTGAAAAATAGGAAGCAACCTCTGCTTCGCTGGGAATGAATCATACTAAATGAAGCTTGGTCACATTTGTAGGTGGTAAGGCAGCGTCATGCTTTTGCGACCAGCAGCGGGATCGCGGCTATCGTCGGTACTTCGTTTCCTAGGTGAGCTTCTTCCTGTTTCTTCTGTTTTCATTGTTTCAGTTCATATGAGTGTTCTAGAAGTTTCCTGGCTGAACTGTTTCTACTTCCAAAATATTTATGGTTCACAGGTTTAGTCAAGCAGAAAAGAACTTGCCCAGGAATCAAAATATTAATTTTTTATGCAAAATCAAGGAGGAGGGACCTTCATAACTCCATGTATAGGCTAGAATGAAAAAAAACAATAAGAAATTCACACTAAACGGAGCTCTCATGCTTTTTGCTAGTTTCCATCCTGAATCGAAAAGAAAGTAGAAAAGGCAAGCTTGAGTTTTTTGTTTGATAACTGCTGTTTTACGCCGCAGTGCGCGATACGAAAGTTATCACAAGAATGCTGAGTTGTGGGCAAAAGTCGGACCACGGGCGGGACTCGAACCCGCATCTTCTGCTTACCGGGCAGTTGCGTTACCACTTACGCTACCGGGGCCACTTTTGACCTCTCAGCTCAATGGCGCTATTTGTGCCATTACCTTTCGCAAGCAACTTCACACGTTCAACGTTGGGCACAAAGCTAGCCATTGAGTGAGAGGTCAAGTGGCCCCGGTAGCGTAAGTGGTAACGCAACTGCCCGGTAAGCAGAAGATGCGGGTTCGAGTCCCGCCCGTGGTCCGACTTTTGCCCACAACTCAGCATTCTTGGTTGGCAAGCGTTGAGTTGGCAGTCACCTTTTCTTCGAGTCAAAACAAGCTTTTTGGTACCCTGAGAAGTATCCAGTTGGAAAGAAAAAAGCGTATAAAATTGTCAGGTCATTTGTCATTTGTTCCTAATAGCACTCGGACGGATCCAAGTAACAGCACTGCGTACCGCGCTCTGGTGCGGTACCGACGATCCGCGGCGATCGCCGCTGCTGTTCGCCGAAGTGATGAACGCTGCCGTAGATACAACCCTCCACTAGCGTTGCTTCTTCGTTCCAATTCTTACTTTGAAGCTTTTGCGGTTTAGATATTAATTACAGCCGAAGATGTGTAGTGGCAAAGTGCACGCTACCAAGGCCCCCCAGAGGATCCGGGCGTCAAAACCTAGGCAGATCGGCTTCCGCAGAACGGAACTAACCTTTCCAATAAAGGTTAAAATGGCTTGCCAAACTCGTCTGAAAGCGACCTCAGTCCATTTCTGATTGATTGATGGACGTGGGCGTCGATCGCAATGCCTTTCTTGAGTGCGCAGATGGGCTTTAGGATGTCATGAACTGCGAGGGTCAGCCCCGTGTATATGACCCAGTGGCTTATATCCCCCAGACGAGCCCCGGTGACCACATTTTACCGGGGTTGCCGGGAAAGTAGAGGTCCTGGTCAGCTCGGGCGGTATCCAATCCATTATTTGACCCCAGTCCATGTGGTAGGCGTGCCACTGCCACTACACATCCTCTACCCCATCATTGGCATTAGTCAAGCTTAATAAGACAGGAAACCTGCATGACGGCTAGCTTCCCCATCCTTTTGATCCGAGCCACTCAGCGGAACGCACTGTGCAACCTCGTCCATTTAAGTGGAGTAGATTTTCACTGAAACACAGTAGATGAGATAGATAATTGATTGCTCTCCTTTCGTACTGCTGCACCTTTTATCTGTGGCCTGAGGTTCTAACAGATCTGTTTCCGATCAGGAATCCTCAGGTGCTCATCCTATCACTACACAGGAAGGAAGCTGCCTTCTTAGTGGTTATGAGTGCGCAGTGTAAAAAGACTTTATGGTGCAGTACAGTACATCAAAAACGACACAAAAACCTGTCTTTCCGCTCTAGCGAACGGTACCTAATTAGACATTGTTTTACTGGAACACTATCAATGAAAAATCTCCACACAGCACTGAGTTGGAGCAAAGGAAAACTGTTGAAGAACACTTCACTGTACGCCTACGAGGACGGTCTGTGCCATGCTGCGATGCAAATGGCGCGTCCGCAGCTGCGTGTAGCGTCGTTACGTTTCCTTCTCAAAATTGCCGCGGAGAAAGTGAAACCTGAGGGTGGGGGTGCCCGAGTGCCGTTCCCGTAATCCGCCCGCGCCTATCTTCGAGGTGCAAGCACCTGCGTCGACCACAACGGTTCTTCGTTAGCGAGACACCGCACTGCAGTAGAACGAACAATCAGGAGTGAGACGGAGCAGGGGCACCGTAGCGCTCTTGGTTTACCGGGTTAAGCTGTGCGGACTAGGCGCAGCCGCCTTGGCAGCGCGGAAGACGGGGGCCGGCGGCATCACTACGAGGGCACGTCTGGTTTCTTGGAAAATTTCTGCAGAAATCGACGACTCCAGCCCCTCCCAAATTATCATTCGATTGCGACGCCATCCTCATCCGTCGTCATGGCAGGCCATCCTTCTAAAATTTCCCAAAACTTTGCCCACCCACTATTCCGCCAGCCTTCTCTCCAAAATATTCTGTCAAATATTTCTTTAGAAAGCTGCCGTCGGGAGCGATGATGCGACGAGAGAAAGAGCATGAGGAGAGAGGGGAATATATAAGTGCCCGGGAGGAACAGGAAAAATGCGAAGAAAAGTTCTCTTCGGGCAGGCGAACACATATACTCCTCGCTACCGCTGAGATCCCTGTCCTTGCTGGGAATCCGCCAAACGTACGAACGTACTGTGACATCGCCAACCCTCAAATCGCGTGGGTCCGCTGCAACTTTGACCGGAGAAAGTGAACACGCTCACTGTAGCTTGCCGGATCCATTGACCCCAAGGTATCAAGATCTATGCCGGAGTGGGTACAGCTTACCTTGGACAACTGGCAAGACATCCGGATGTTTCATACAACAATAGCGAAACTATGATTAAGGGCGAAACCCTCTAATTTCTTTTTCGCCATCACAGATGAAGGACAAGATGTTTGCACATAGACGACAAGGTGCTGAGTACTCGATAGTAAAGAAAAAGGCAGAAAAACTTGCCATGTGGCCCTACAGGGGGGGGCAAAAAAAAAAGTCATTCCGGCCGAGTCACATATGAGCGAAGTTTTCGCAGCCCAGACAGAGGAAGTGGATATGAGTACCAGGGCGGAAGATACCCAAGATCTTCCTCTATAAGCAGGAGCCGGCTGCCGCCATTCACCTTCATGTACACCAAAATATGAAGTCATCTCCAGTCGCGGCCTGAGTGGAGAACGCCTTTGGAATTCACGTGGCCTCCAAACAGCTGCGGAACTTCTTGAATGGAATCACCCATGGATAGCTACCTGGAGACCAGTACTCTTGATCTGCAAGACCTCAAACATCGAGCAGCTCCGGTCCAGGCGCGACATCATCTTCACCCCATTCACCAAGGCGCGGGTTGATGGTGTGGACCGGCCGTACCTGGAATGGGAAGACCGATATTTTCTTTGTAGACCCCGACTGAAGGTGAGCGCTGGCGGTTACATCAAGTAACTCGAGAAGAATATCCTCCCTACATGTGGTCGCCCGTACCTTCTTGGAGACCTTGTGCTGCTACAGGTTTGGGTGCCACCACATGGAATCGAAGGGTTTTGGAAAAACTCCCGCCTACTTCGAATGGAAGGGCGTTTCGTACCTGATGAAGATGTAATATTGAAATATGTCCCCTGACCTGAACCCACTCAATTACCTAGTTCGGGCGGAGCTCAACAGGGTGGTCTACAGTGGCGGAGAAATCAACGATCTCGCTCAACTCCGGTACCCACTCACTTTCGCGCGGCCGAATCTCTCGATGGCTACAATAATACAATAATGATGCTCCTCCAGAAGGCTGTGGCGGCCAGTATCATATTATTTAATGTGCTCGTTCAAATATGGTAGTAAAAATGATCCGGTAAAACATTAGATGAAAGTGTGTAACTGTTAAATTCAGGCGCCCCGTTGAAAGTCATGGAGCCCAAAAATGACGTTTTGCGCCCCCCTCCCCCCTGTAGACAGAACCCCATTTCGATACCCACTTTGTACGCGCCCCACACACCCAGTGGACTCCATCTCCGATCACGGCCCCTCAATCCGCCCACAGCTTGATTCCCTGATAAGGGACTCTACAACCGTAGAAACTGGCGATTTCATGCTTTTCGTATTGAAGCTCTGGTTTTCAGTTGAAGACTAGGCGGGCCCCTCGGTCTGGGAGGCGGAGTCCATGAGAAAAAGGAGGCGTCATTGAATCAGTATTGGCCTATAACGCCCCTCCCTTTAAAATTTTTTTACGCCTGCACCTCCACGGACGCCATATTTCCAGCTACTATACCTGTTGATCGCAGGACCGACCTTCAAGAGAAGTTCTCAACTAGACTGTATTTATCATCTTGCCAAGCTGTTAGTCAAACGAACTTACACGGAGCAGCGACGAGAGCTTAAGCAGCAACGTCCCTGAAGAGAAGCTTCACCAGCATCCCACCTGAAAAAGATTGTATTACTCGTCTTTTGTTGTTTGCTATTAGTCAGCTGTTTACCTATGCGGTGCTTTTTTAGGAGATATAAGAGAGTTTATACAGTCCTCATCATTTGCGGACCGGGGTTGCGTGCGACGTGTCAGTGCGGACCCGCGTTGGGGCGGTGCAACAGTCTGTTTGGCGCCGGCTGCACAAGTGCGTTTGGCGCTGGTCCAAAGTGCGCGTTTGGCGCGGTGCCAAAGTCGTTCTGCACCAGTTGTTGAAGCGGGCAAGTGACATTACTGTATTATATCCTTCGTATTACTCGTTTTCTACCACTTTTTGTCGCATACGCGTTTCAACAAAAAGGCTGAGAACGGCTTCAACAGTGTGCACACTCATACTGGCTGACACGCCCCACCGGTCCGCAATGATGAGGACTGTACAATACACTGGTTTGTGGTTCTAAAATGCTAGCAGGGTGCTAGTTCTTGGGAAAATGGCGAAAAAAGGAAGTGAAATGGTCGAAAACCTGCAAAAAAACCTTCGTTCTCCATGACTCAG